CCCGTGGCAGCGGAAAGCTGCAGAGGTGAAGGGGCGCCGGAGGAGGGAAACGGGCCCTTGGAGCAGCGGGAGAGCGGGGGGGACGTTGGCAGAAGGAGAACGGGCTGTATGTGGGTGTTTCTACCCTGCTGTGGGCCTCCGAGCGAAATCCCGGGAGTGGGGAGGGCACAGGGGCTCCATCAGGCTCCTCCCCGGGCTGGGAAGCTGCAGGGTGGGTGTCGTGGGGGCAGGCTGGGGGTCCCCGGCTTCACATCTGGGCTTGGTTTGGGTGCAGGTGAGCTGCTGCTTCTGTGAGGGAGGTAGCTGTGTACGTCTGCTTCCATGAGGTCTTTCTAGTCCCTTGTCTTGGTCGCCTGTTCGCTGGTGGGTGAAAAGGAGAATGTTCCCACAAAGAAGCTGTGCATGGTCTGTCTTTTAATTAAGCAAATTGTTCCAGAAAGTGTGTTGTTAACCCTGAGATAACACAGGGGTAAATCTGAGCGTGAGTTTTTAGGCCTTCATCTCCTTCTGCCAATTAACAGCGTGTGCGAGTCAGCTCCTTTGCAGAAAATGCTGAAGCTCCATGGTTACCACGAAGCTGACCAGCCTGCGACGCTCCAGCTTTGCAGCAATGCTGCCTCACCAAGGACTAAAAGCCCAGCAGTTGCTGCTAATTTTTAATTCTTTTTCCTTCTCTCCCTTTTAGCCTTCCTGCTTTCCTCTGCGGTTCGGCACCGGAGTTCCCAGACCACGTCACTGCAGCAAGGGTAATGTCAAATGCCTTTCTGCTTTCCTTTCTGCTCCTTGAGACACTGACCTTCCTCGGTGAGGGTGGGGAGGGCGGCTTGGTTTCCTTGGGAAAGGAGGCTTGTCTGGCCCCTCTGTCCGTTGCTTCCCGATACGTTTTGGACTCTCTGCCTACCTTCAGCCACCTTTGCCAGAAGGAGGCTTCTGTTGACTTGTGAAATTGAGCAGCTGAGTCTAGAGGCAGGTAATTAGGTCCTCCCCAGAGAAAAGGGCCTCAGCGTGGGCTCAGCCCGTAGCAGACAGCAGAGAAGCTACTCAGGTCAGGACATTGAAACGCCTCAGCCGCAGAAAGGGCTTCAGCTGACGCGTATCTTTTGAGGTGCAGGCAGTCTGCTCCTCTACAAGGCTCGTCTCCTGCCTGGAGTCTCCAGTATCTGACCAGTTCTGACCCTGTGCTGCCGTCTTCGTGAAATGTGATTAACAGCCCTGGCACTACAGGACACCGAGCCAGGAGACTGCAGACTTCCCTTGTTTCAGCGCTTGTTTGTGTCTTTTATTTTGTTTTCTCTGCTGGGATCTCACGCAGAGGACCCTGCACAGAGCTGCAGGCTGTGCTGCTGCTTGCTTTAACCAGGAGGGGACACTCCTGGGAGCAACCTCAGGGAAAAACACCAAGATTTGCTCCTTCCCTCTGGTTGTCTTTGTGGTATCAGATCCCTGCTTAATAAGGAGCTGGAATCCCATGTCTTTCGGGCATGTGTCTCTGAGTACAGGCGGTTGGCACCCCTCGGGATAATCCCTGAGCACCGCAGGATGGGCTGGTGCCTCCCTCCCCTGCCCCTGGGGCAGGTATGGCCATTCTGCTGAGAGCACTGCGCGGGCAGGGTGCTGTCCCTGGTCAGAGCAGCGCTTTTCTCTCCCATTCTTTGGGAACAAATGGATGGTTTTTGTAAGTGGCTCTTATGCACAGGTGTTACCAGCTGCCTCTGCTCCTCCTTGTCCTGAAGATCTTGAAAACCAGCTCATTATGAGCAAGTGCCATTTTTGTTTTTTCCGCTCAAGCTCACAGTGTAGGGTTTAATTTTTGAATTAACACCCTGTGGCACATCTGAGCAGAGTTAATTCTTGCTTAGCTCTGATGTCTTAAGCAGGGTTCTCGTGATTTAGTGCTGGCTGCATGACAATACCTGCGGTACTGACCGTACAGGGCTCGGGGCAGCTAGGAATCAGCTCAGTTTTGCGGCAGAGGATAATCTTGAGAAAAGCAGAAAGAATCCACCGTGACAGCTGGTGAGAATGTGTTCCTGGCTGCCAGCTGAAACACCCCTGGCGGTTTTCAGTCTTTCATCCTGTTTCAGTAGTGTAGCCTGATTGCCTTCAGGCCCCCAGTTCATCTCCAAACAGAAGGTTTGTGCTGTCCCAGCCATTTACCGTTTCCAGTAGGAGAGCAGCATCTATGTGGAGAAAGTGGAGCAGGCTTCAGGTAGGATGTCTTCTGCACCGGATTTGTCATTCAGGTGCTGGTGCTGTTTGGGCTGTGGTGGCTCCTGGGATTGTGTCAGTGCTGAATGATCCCAAAGGGACACGTCTGTGGTGCTCAGGAGTCCCCTGGGCTGGTCACCAGGAATTTCCTCAGAGACTGATGCAACATCTGGAAATGGAGTGGCTCTTGTCTCAGCGGAGCAGTTCCAGAGTGAAAAGAGAAGCTATTAATGCCATTCGCTATCACAAAAGAAGAAACCACCCTTTCAAGAAGAAGAAGGATTTAATTTGCACCTTTTAGCAAAATATGTTGGTGCTCAAAGTCACAGTGAGGAGTGATGCTCCCTTCTGTCGCCAGCCTGGGGCTGAGGAGTCTGCCTGGGTGCCTCTGCCAGTCCCTCCACACTGAGGTGGTGTCAGAAGAGGCTTTTGGGCTGAATGTGTGTGTTTTAAATGCTGAATTGCCCTGCGGGTGGGAGAAGCCATTATAATTGCCATTCAGGGAATGCAGCTGGAGGAAAGAAGAGCAGCCTCAACTCCTGTAAAGAACCCAGATGTGGTCTTAAGGCCCTCTGTAAACTAACAGAGCAGAGCTTCAAAAAATAGAGGAAAAAAGGATGCATGTGAGTCATTCATGCATAGCTGGAGGCTGGTTAAAGGATGCTTGTTAGCCCTTCTTCCCGTCAAAGGCACGTTGCCTCTTCCCGATGCTCCCCGCTGTCGCGTAACTTCGGGGCTTTGTGTCTGGTGCTGAAGTGGGTCGAGGAGCGTTAACGCGATCAGCCTCTCAGCTGTGGTGGAGGTGACCCTGGAAAAGCTTCACAGGAGCCTTTTATCTGAAACCCAGGTGTAAGCAGGGCTTAAGGTGGATCTGTTGCCGTTGGAGTTGGTGACAAAATTCCCGTCTGTAAAAACAAGGCGGTGGAAAGTCGCTGGTGGTCGCTGAGCTTGATCACCACGGGCACATCCCGCTGCAGGTCTCAGCATTGGGAACAAGCGATAACCTGGCCTGGGTGAATTTCCAGTTCATTTTCAGGCTGTTTCTTTCTGCACTGTTTCTTGATTTCAAAGTATTTCAAATACCGTTCTGAAGTGGGAAGCTAAAAAAAAAAAAAAGGAAAATAATCCCATTTCCCCTATTGAGTTTTTGCTAGGATGGGAGTAAAGCAAACCAACCACCAAGCTGTTTATCCCTTTTCCTTAAAGCTTGCTGCAATTCCTGGTGGACCCAAGTGACGTGAAGCCCCAGGAGCAGCGACTATGTTTGGCAGAGCACCTGCAGCTGAATTCAGCAATGAGACCGAGTGTTTTCTGCGTGGTCTTGAACAGCCTTCTGGTGTGGGCTGCGGCTTCAGCGCTTCCGCAGCATTTCTGGTCCTGCTGGAGTGCTTTAGCTGGGTGTTGGGAGGAAGCTCTGGGGACTCTGACGTGCCCAGTGTCCTCCATTGGATTAAGTCCCAGGGAGGTGACGCAGTTTTTGCCTTCCCCACCACTCATGCCAGTAACATGTAAGACGGAAATGCAAAACCTCTCCTTGCTCAGGAGCTCCTGCAAAGTGAAACAGGATCAGTGGGAAATTCTGGCCCACGTGGGCTTTGGGTCAATTGATGAATCATGAGGTCTCAAGTACAGCGTCTGCTCTGCCAGTGGAAAAGCACTTTCTGCTCCATCTCCAGCTTCTTTTACCCCTTTTCCTCTCTTCATATTTTACGTCTCTTGGCAATACGTTTCCTACAAGTGAATCTTACCTTCTCCTTCACAGGCTTGTTGCCAAAACATCTCTGACCTCACCCCCGTGGCCTGAAGTGAAGCTCCCAGATCCAGGGGAAGAAGCGAAGCATCATGCAGGTAAAGGTCTCAAGTCTCCAGGTGGACACTGGCACTCCAGTATTGCCACTGGTGGCCCGATTGAGTGTAAATGTCTTCAACGGTTTGAGACAGTTTTGGTTCTTCACATTTTTGTCTCGTTTCTGGCGTGTGCAAGTGTCCTGGGACTTGTGCTCCAGCACCTGGTGTTGGAGATTCGGGTGGAAGATGAGGTCTCCGTGGTTCATAACAGCATGACAGGCTGTAACACCCCCAGAGGAATCCTACCTGGTGTGATGTGTTGCTTTCTAAAGCATGAGCCAAGCCTTTCGGACAGAAGGAAACAATTCTTTTTCTTTTAATGGCTAAATCGAGAAGCTAAAGCCAGCACAAGCAGGTGGATGGTGGGCACACCAGAGGGCTGGTGTGTTTCAGTGCGTGAAACAGAGGACTAGAGCCAGCACAAGCAGTTGGATGGTGGGCACACGGCAGAGCTGCAGAGGTGTGACAGAAGGCAGTGAGCAGCTGGGAAGTGACACAATGTGAGTGAATGCATTCCCGTCCCCACAGCTAGTCAGGACGTTGAAGGCAGCCAGGGGTCCTCCTGGCAGGGGCGCGTGGCCCGTACGGCGGTCAGCCTCGTGATTCTGCGAGTGTAGTGCCGCAGCCGTTTAGCAACCGTCCGCGTTGCTGAGCTGTACTGGAACATCTCAGTCTTCCACTTGCAGCCAGAGACAGGTTTCCCTGGCAGGTGGGGATGTGAACATCAAATACGGAGCAAGGGGAGTAAAGGAGAGGCGTTCTTTTGCAAGGAGAGAGCGAGGGGAGGAAAGCTGAGGTGTGTCCAGCTTTCTGCAGATAGTCTGCTATCATCCGTCTGCAGTGTGTTAATAACTGTGCGAGTGATGTGCTCTGGAGAGAGCCTGCTGCTCCACATCTCCTCCCTGGCTGCTTTTCCTCCTGCTTTTTATCTCCCGGGTGCTCCTGGGATTGCTCAAGTGACAGATGAGTGTTCTGTCTGAGTGTGGTTTGACCCAGTGGTGAACTGTAAGCCGCTGGGTTTGGTTTGCCGAGGCCCTGCGGTGAGCAGGCTCCCCTGTTCCCCTGCTTGATTCCCAAGGGATCGTCGGGGCCGCTGTGATTTCTGTGCCTGGTAACCTCCCACTGTTCCTGAGCTTGCATCATTATCTCCTGGCTGTGCTCATCCAAAGCAAACAACAGCGAGAGCGTTTCAATTCCGCCTTCTGCTTTCCTGCTGGCTGGGGAAACAGCCACGGATATTTTAGGAAGGGTCGCTCCGCGTGGTGCTGCGATATGAGCCGTGCTGGCAATCAAAGGGTAACATCACTTGATGGTTCCTGTCACTGGAGGTGTTTGGAGGAGTTATCAGCAGCTTCAGAGCCTGGGAAGGAAACGCACCTCATTTGGTTACAAAAGGATGAGAAAGCCCTGTGGGGAGAAAGTTGAAATTTGCTGAGGAAATAACCCTTGTTAGAGCATGACTCTGTGGGTTTTGCGAAGAGGAAATTGTAGGCCAGAGTTTTGAAATGTTGGTTTTGAAATGTTGACCACAGGGCTACTGACACACGCAGATCAGCAGTTCAGAGCTGGAGAAAATTGATGGTACCCATGGTGCAGCGGAGGGCATAGCAACCAGAAGGGGTTTGTGTTTTTCTCTGGACTTTGTAGTGGACCACTGTGAACCCGAGGAAAGAACTCCCAGGGGATTTTTCTTCTGGGACAGCAATTCCAGCAACACAGGAGCTAAACTCTTCATCGGAGGGGGAACTGCAGCAGCTACTGCCTTGCAAATAATTTCTGTTCTTACCTCTGTCTTTAACAGTTTGCCTCCGCTGGGACAAAACTTGGGCGCTTTCAGAGGGTTCCTGTAAGGGCTGGGTTTGGTTTGGTGGGCTGTGAAATTCTTGTCTGTCCCAAATGGGTGGTGTTTTGTTTACATTGCAGAAAAAAAAAAAATTATTCAGCCACTTTTGAGGACAGTGAAGAAAATCTGTTTTTCCAGTTATAGAAAAGTTACAGTTTTCTTGAACAGCTCAGGAGGGTGGAAAGCTACTGTTTGGCAGTGGAATGGCACTCCTGGAGCAATACCTTTCCACATTCCCATAAAAATTGGTTTTGGTTTCACTGCACAGAGAGATTTTCTGGAAAAGAGTGAGGGAAAGTCTCTCGTGTCTTTGCTGCAGGTACAGGTTCTGGGGCCGGGCTTTGTGGGTACGCTGGAGCCCTTCTTCCTGGGCACTTTGCCAAACTCCTCCTGACGTTCCTGCGTGCCTGACACTGTGTTCAGAGCCCTGGCCTGCTGCGTGTGATTTGGAAATCGAGGGGAGCTCCCCTCCCAGTGCAGGATTGCGTTCTCTGGAACCCTTTAATCTGAATATGGGGCACTTTAGGGTGCCTGAGGAGGAGGCTGGGAAGTCAAGCCTTAGACTAGCTGCGCATATATACGTGTGTGTGTGTATATATATATATATATTAGGTGTTCACTTACGCCTGGGTTTGCCAGGAACTAAAACACAAAGAGCTCATTAAGTTTACGAAAGGGGAGGCTTGCACCCTGTAGGAAACAACATTGCTGTTGGTCTTTGCTTAAAGATTCCCGAAGATAGGAGCTCTGGTGGGAGAGCAGCGTGGTGGAATGGGTTTGGAACAGCTCTTCCCACCTCCCTGGGTTTTCTACCCTGACTCCTTCCCTGCTGTTTGCCAACAGAAGTGGTGCAAAAGGTGAACAGGATGATCGCCGCAGGGCAGTACGGAAGGCTCTTTGCTGTGGTCCACTTTGCCAGCAAGCAGTGGAAGGTAACCAGCGAAGACCTGATTATGATGGACAACATCCTGGAGGCTGAATGCGGAGACCGGATCCGGATGGAAAAGGTGACGGGCTGTGCTGTGTGTGGGGCCAGGGTGGGTTGGCTGCCAGCATTCCTTGAGGCAAAACCCATCACCAATTTTTAAAAGCGCATCCTGGAGAGCTCCCGTTGGATCTCCCGTTCTTACTCCAGCTATTTGCTTTGCCTGAGTTTTGTTCCAGTTTCAGTCCCTCTGCTAGTGATAATATTATTGTGATTCTGTTGGAATGAGTCGTGCCAGACTGTTTGGAGACAGATTTTTGTTTTACTAACTTCATCCAAAAAAAGAAAATTACAGTTGTTGTTTCTAGAGAAAGACTGTGTTTACCTTGAGACTCCAACACCCCGAATACTTGCAGTACTCCCCGAGGGACTGTCACCGCTCAGTGCTTTGCGAGATCCTTATCACGGCAAGTGTGCTGGGCCGGGGAGAGGGATGGCGCGTGCAGGGGAGGATTGCCAAGGTGCGATCCGGTGTCTTTATCCGTAGCCTGGGTTAACTAGCAGGGACTTGCAGAGGCTCACCAATACAAATCTTAAATGAAATATTATAAAGTGGGACTCTGTTGGCTCAATCTTACTGTTGGTTGTTAGAGCCAAGCAAGCAGTTAGAGCAAGCCAGGCAGTTGTCCACTGCTTTGAAGTCCAGTCTTGAGGCGGATTTTTTGGCATGCCTTCAGCTGTGTCCTGCGTCCTTGTATACAGCAGAGAGGAGTGATTTGCACAGAGTAGCCAGATAGGAATGCAAAGGTCTAGATGGGAGAGAAGAAGGTGGAAAACTTGCCTATCCAACATAATCCTTGGAGGATTTCACGGGCAAGTATCTGTCTGAAACAAAGGTCAGAAAATTTCATGACTCTGTATCTGTTGCTTTTAACTGCTGCTGTACAAGGTGTGGGGAAGGCGGCGGTCGGTAAGAAATGCTGCCTCGTATCATGAAATCCTGTGGTCCTTGAGATAGGCAGGTGGTTGAAATGCCCTGAAACAAAAGGGTTCATCCCTAGGGTGGTGAATCCCCCCCAAGATGTTCATTTATTTATTGCCTGTCTTGAGGCCTCATGGAGGAGGAGGAGGAAAGTGTTTCTCTACTGGGATATGTAGCAACTGCTATAAAAATCCAGTGATTTTAGGAGCTGCCATTCATTCAGATCCCACCCAAGGTATATTATTCCTCTTCCCTGTATTGCTTTCCGTGTCTTTTACAAGTGTTGGTGAGCCGGAACAGAAAGGTTCAGTGTGTTCTGATCAGCGTGAGAGATACTTCTGCAGTCTGTTCCAGGAGGGTGAGCTCCCCTGGAAGGCTGGCTGGCTAACGACTCTCTTTCTTGCCTTTTAGCTGCCTTTCCCTTCTAGTAACAGTGCCAGGTTTGAAGTGTGTCAAGCCCTATTTTTAAGCAGTTTGATTCCTTTATGGTGACTGTAAAATTTGGAAGGTATTGTTCGGATTTGTACTGGGACAGCAAACCAGCGATATCTGCCTGATTTATCTTACACAGGTTTTGCTGGTTGGTGCCGACGACTTCACGCTTGTTGGACGGCCGCTCCTGGGGTAAGATGTCTCTTACAAGAACTATCTTCAAGACAATTCTTATACTTAATTGTAGGTTCAGGGCTCCTACAGCCCCTGAAACTGAGGAGAAACATGGATTTATCGGCACTAGGTGTTTCCCCAGCCCTGTGGCTTTTGAAAGAATCACCAACAAAACCAGCTCATGGCCTCTGCTGACTGTAACCCTTCCCAGTGCCACGTCTAAGGTACCTGGAGGAGATTCACCTCTGTCGGGTTGGATCTCTTTCTCATGGTGTAAGCCTTGCACAAGCTGGCAGTAAATCTTGCTCTTCAACATCTTTACTCCCTTACCCTAATGTCAGTGATAGTCATTTCAGAATAACCCAGAAATCCTTGCCCATCCCTTAATTTGCCTTGGGTTTTCTAACCCATTTCCTCTTGCCTTTGTCTAACCCTGCAGGCCTTAATCTGAATTTTAGAGTTCCTAATTTATCTTCCTCCAGCAGTCACAAAACTGTGGAGAAGGAGTTTACCCCCTTGGCACGCTCTCCATGCCCATGCTGTAGGACTCGCTGTCCAAACTGGCAGAACACCTGGTTCTTCAGCCTTTTCTTTACCGAAGGTTCGTGGTGTGTGGAGCAGGTGTTTCTGCTCAGCTCCTAGCACCAGCCTGCAGCAAAGCCATGAACTGCTGTTTTCCCCAGGACAAGAGCTTTTAGTGGTCAAATGCAAGTCAAGATGAGGTGGGTTGCGAGTGCTCAGAGTATCTGGAAGCCCTGGCTGTGGTCTGGTTGCAGGATAAGCCACACGTTCAGTGTCAGCTTGAGCTGCAGCAGCTTTGGCGGAGGATGGTGAGATAAGGAGGAACTTGTACATCTGAGAATTATTTCTTGGTGGCTTGTAGGCTCAGATTAGAAATACCCCGTAGTTTCATATTGGTTTCACTTCCCAGTGCTTTCTGTGGTACCAGGAGGCTGCTGGTGTTTAAGAGTTACCTGTAACGTGTTTGTACGTTGATACCGTGACTTCAGTTGCACTGGTGGTGGCTGCCTCAGGGTCCCTGTGTTGGGATTTTGGGGGCTGCCAGTCCTTTACCAGCACTGCAAATAGATCTGGAATAGCAGATCGTCAGGAGTCTCTGAATTATTGACAGATACTGCACTTGCGGAGGATTTTAGGAATCTCATTATTAGGACTAGAAATGTCATCTTGAAATTGAAATGAGAGCCCAAGTTCTGCAGACAGGGACGTGCCATGTCAGGCAGTTTCAGGTCACCACCCTTCTCTTGGCTCTCTCGACCGGTGGCCCTGGGCTGGTTCTTTGCAGCTCTCGGTTTGTGTGCTGCTCTTGGCACGTGGCCGGAGACCCAGGAGCTCTGGGACAGAGCTGTTTGGTTCCTGCAGGTGCTTTAAGCGCGTGAAAGGCTTTGTCAGGTGCTTGGAGGAAACCAAACGGCACATCTGCCGGCGTTAGCTTGAACTGCAGTAGCTTTGGCAGAGGAAGATTGGTGGGAGGAGGAGGAGGCTGACCAGACAGATGTGGAGATGCCGTCCTCCCTCCGAGCCGTAGGGAAACCTCCCGGGTTCCCAGCTCCCATACGGGCTGAGGAAAGGAAAGCAGAACCCAGCGTGTCACGAGCAACGTGGACTGCAGTTCTTTCACATGGGTCCCAGTTGTGCCTAAACCACAGACATTTTGGAGGGGAGATAAGCGGCTGGATGTGAACAAAGGCGGGCTTGTTTTTCTGTTGTTTTAAAAATAAACACAGCGGTGGATGCTTGCACCAGTGTCTGCGTAAGAGAGCTCATTGCAGCTGCACTCCCTGTTCAAACTTGGAGGCGGGTATGAGCTTGTCCTGTTTTGGACAGATGGTCATGTTTTAATTTTCTGTAGCAGTCAGATACCTCCCAAGACGGCACTTCTCTAGAGCCTTAAAAAATAACAGTGCAACAAAACATATCTGCGTGGCAGAGGCTATTCTGGGAACTTGGAGTTGGCTTCTGCTCCGGAATCTGCTGGGTTTATGCTTGTTCAAGTGACTTGCTGCCTGGTGGATTGGCACAGGGGTGTCGAGCAGTACGCAGCTGGGCTTTGTTCGGCTGTAGAATGCAGAAGTTGTTGCACTGTTAAAGCTGTGGTTGGGAGGGAGCGTAACCTTGGGCAGGTTTGTGTTTCAGGCCATCAGCTGAGTGCTCTCAGCTGTTCTAGACCTGAGTGGAGGGAACGGTGCCTCTGTGAGAACGGTTAGCTTCTTTCTAGACAAAGTACAGCTGATGGGAATTTTTGCCTCGGGGTGAACCTCCTACCTGCCCATTGCTGCAGTGCCTTCAGTGGAAATGGCCAAGGGCCTTGGAGCTGCTCTTCTCCCAGGCTGGGATTCAGTTACCTTCTGCAGGGAGTGAGTGAGCTTCTCAGTGGAAATTAGTACCTCTGAGAGTTACGATCCTTTGGGGTTGTAGGTTGCCTGGATCTTTTTCACTGCTTAATGACAAGAGCTTTCAGCCCCACTTAGATCCGTGAGATTTCAGTGCGAGTTTTTCTTGCCTCCTGCAAAAATCCGGTCGATTTGTTGTGAAACACATTGCTGCTGAGAGTGGCAGCCTGCCTCTGCCCGGCTCTGGGAAGCCTGTGACCCCCTTTTTATTTTTATGGACATTCCAGTCATACCTAAAACATTCAATAAAGATTTGGGGTTTTTTTTCTTGGGCTCTGTTTTGCTGAGAACTTTTCTGTTCATATGCAGAACCAGCAGGTCCTAGTGGGGCTTGCAGGGTGCAGCCACGCTTGCGTGCTCGACCATGTCCCAGCAGTACCCTTAAAGATTTGCTTGAAAGCATGTCAGCATCTGTGAGGAACGGAGCAATGTTGGGGGGACACTTACCTACAGGTCCATGTCAGTATTTCTCCTTTTGGCTGGACTGAGTGGCATCAGGGAGAGCTTGGCTGTGCTGCTGCCAGCCCCGGCTCTCCGGGAGCAGCGCAGAGATTCCAGGGACCAGGTCACTTTATCTCGCCTGGCCGCTTTCCAGTTTTCCCACGGGATCATCCTTGGTGAGTTTCTTACGTGCCTTTACAGTCCAAGCCTGGGAGAAGTCGGTGGGAGTTTAGCTTTCCCTTTGCCTTCAGCGGGCAGGAATTAGTCCCAGAAAGCAGAGCTCCCTAATTATAGCAGTAAAGCAGCCAGCCCCTGGAGTGCAGTCCGGTTTTTGGTTTCTTTCCTGGCGCTGCAAAGCTGGCTGGGTATTTCAGTAGTGCTGTCGCGTCCTGTTGCTGGGCTGAGTCTGGATAACCTCCCTTAGCAGCGATGTTGAGGTCACCCGGTGGTCTCTTAAACTCCAGATTATCTGACATCTCTTCTGAGCCAGTCACTCAGTGCAGATAGATTGGTTTTCTCCCTGGCTGTCCTTCCCTCCTCCCTCCAGGATTCAGTCTGATACGCATTACACCCCAGAGAGGAGATGTTCAGAGAGATGGCGAATGTCTCGGAGCCTTTGGCCTCCTGGTGACCCTGCTGGAATGGTTGGGCTAGATGGGCTTTCCCCTCTGCCCCCTCCGGCGCAGACAGAGCCGTTTGTCAGGAAAATGTTCTTTAAATGTCTTCTGGCGGCGAAGTGAGCATGCTAATGAGTTTTTAATGGTGTTCTGCAGGGATGCTGCATGAAGAGTGTCTCTGCCTCCTCCATTGTGGCTGCTGATTAAAACCACGCTTTCCAAACCTTTACTCTGGCTCTTGTCTGGAGGCGCTGATCGTCTCAGAGAGGAGCTGTTGCACAGACAAGGAGCTGCTCCTCCAGTGCATGCTGCAGACCACCTTCTTTTCCAGCTCTGGCGTTTTTCAGAGGGCAGCTAGAAATTCTGTCTCTCTTTTTCTGACTTCTCTCAGGGCTCTGCAGAGTCCCTGGGTGGGCAGGAGGTGTTTGTGTGGTAAGGTAATGCAGAGGAACAAGTTACACTCTGGTTTTACTCACCTGTGAAGGAACGATGGGCCATATCCTCCTCTTCGTCTCCATCCCTGGGGAGGGAGGATGTTTACTTGCTGAGAATTTCCATGTGCAGAAATGAGATGTAGAAATAATTTGAGTCTTTGAGTGGTCTCACTGCTCATCCTGAACACCCCTGGCTGCAGGACGCGGAGCAGTATGTGAAATCCCCACTGAGTCCCCATCTTCTCTTCCAATGTGGGGTAAACAAGCAGGACAGACCACGAGTGGGAGGCAGAAGAGAGGTGTGGGAGGAGAAGTGACTTGCTCCAGCAGCCAGTTAGCTGTGCCTCCTGCCAGAAACAGTGGGGCAGATCTCCTGGCCCTGAGCCTTTGCCAGGACTTACCCAGGTGAGCAAGGTGAGGAGACTTTCTCCCAGCTGGCTGTGATGCTGCAGAGGAGGAGGAAGGACTGCTGCTTTGAGCAGGATAGCCCAGGAGAAGGGGCCAGAGGTGCGTTTAGCCTGTACCGTAAGCAAAGCAGGACATAAAGATCACGTGAACGTGCCGGGGAATTTATCTTACTGTAATCCTGCAAGTTCCTGCAGGTTCGCGTTACTGCTGCCTCCTTAGCTGTTCCTGATGTTATCCCTCCCATGCCAGAGAGCTGCTGCCCTGCAAACTGTCACAGCGCTTGGCTCATCCCTGTGCAGCACCCTGAGGCCTTTGGGTTTGTTCCGTGAAGCCAAAAACCCAACAGATTTCCCTCCTTCCATGGTGACTTTGTTGTTGCTGTGCATCTGGGCTCTGTACGGCAGGATCTGTTACCTGTGTGTCGCTTTTCCCCAGAAACCTGCCCGCCCATAGGAGGAGAATGTAAATTAATAAAAAGTGATACTTTTAAAATTTATTTTGAAGGAAAGAGCTCGTCCGTGTGGAGGCTACTGTGATTGAAAAGACGGAATCGTGGCCAAAGATCAACATGCGCTTCTGGAAGAGGCACAACTATCAAAGGAAGAATAGTAAGATGAGGAGAATACAGAACTTCCTTCCCTGCTGTGGTGTTGCTGGATTTGGGATGGGGAGGGACCATGACCCTGGGGAAGGAGGCTCCCAGGACCCCTCCTGGCACAGCCCCTCTTTCCCAGCCCCCCGCCCCAGGCGTGCCGCTGTGTTCAGAACAGGGTGACTGAGTGTCCCTTGGTCCAGCCACCCTTTGGTACACAGCCTGGCAAAAGACCTTGCTGAAAAAGATTTCCTGGGCAGAAAAGCAATCTTGTTCTTTTTCCAAAGCCTCAAATCTTGGATATGTGGTCACAGACATCAGCGAGTCTTAGCAGTATCCTGTGGCAGGCTCTTTGGTTACCAAATCAGCGCCCCTCCTCAGACAGGACTGAGAGAGAGAAAAGTTATGGTCTTTTTTTCATGGAAATGATGCTGAAACCTTGACCAGTCTGACCCAGTCCCGTGGGAGCTCTGCCTAGCTCCCATCTGTGCCATCCCGGTGGTATGCAGCTGTCCTGCCAACGTGGCAGCATCTGCCAGCACACTCCCTCCCAGCACCCGGCACGCCTCGGCTTGCCTTAGAACAGAGCTCAGCCAGCGGGAGCCTGTCGAAAGGTACGCAGTGGGTTTGTGCTGTCATCTGATCTTTTTTTTTTTTTTCTCTTTTCTCTTTCAGTCATCAGGAACCCACAGACTGTCCTCCGGATAAACACCATAGAAATTTTCCCCTGTTTATCGTGAGTGATTGATTGGGTGTTGTGGGGCTTAGATTTATTATTGCTTTAGGCAATCATGGAAATAAAACTGCCTTGTCACTGGAAAGTTCTGAACTTCTTGCTGTTGTCGGGAATGGAAATCTATATGTCCTTTCTTTTTAGAAAAACAAAATGAAATATTTTTTTAAACTATTATTTCAGCCTTGATGGTGTTTATTTGTCAGGAGTGTTAAACAACCCAGGATCCATTGCTTGATGTCGAGCTGTTTTGTGCCAGCTGGGTCTGCCTTTGCCTGCACGCCTCTCTCTGTACCTCAGGAATCCAGGTCCTCAGCTGTGTCTTAAAAATACCTTGGCCTTCGCTGGCTGTGGAAGGAAAGGGCCATCTGTCTCCCCTGTCCGAGATCAGGCTCCGAGCCTGGGAGGCAGAATCTTTGTGTATAATTAGTCAGTTTAAAGAGCCTGTTGCTGCGCTTAGTTGTTCACATCCTTGGAAGCGAGTGCACTTCAGGAGGGAGGCAGGCGTTCGGGTGGGCTGGTGTGCCCTCTGGAAGCACTCCTTGCTCTCCACGGGCTGCGGTTCCCCCGCTGGAAACAGGCGAGGTGTTTTTAAGAGCGTTAAGTGTCATTTTGTCCCCTCCTCCTTTTCCTCCCCTGACAAAAGCCCGGCCGCTCTGTTCCTGTAATTCCTGGCACTGTGGGGCTTCAGGGGATATCGGGGGGCACAGCATGGCCCCCAGCAAACACGGGACTGGAGAGAGCGGTGAAACGGGATGACTGCAGGATCCCAAATCTACTCCCACATCATGTTAAGTGGTGAAAATCCTTCCTGCAGATGAGCAACAGGAGATGCAGCTGAGAAATTACCCTGTAAAAGGTGAGCCACAGTCTATTGCATAGCAGTAAATTGTCTGAGTGTGTCACCACCAAAATAACAGGTACCGGGGCCTCCAGACTAATTTCATGCCTTTTTCACAGCCTTGGGGCTTGACCTGCTGAGTGTATTTTCATGGCTAAAGCTCAGTATTTTCCCTCCAAGCCGAGAACCATCACTTGCTGAGCAGCACATGGATGTTTCTCTCTCCTGGCTGTACGAGGATGTTGGGCACCCAGATTTAAACAGCTAACAGTCACATGAAGGCAGGGACCTTTCTGCGACCAGCTTTGATCCTTGTGCCCTTGTTTCCAGCGGGGGGACCTCTCCTCCAAAAATCAGCTCCCACCTCTTCCCCCTCTCCCAGACGTGGCTCCGGTTCTGTGCGGGGCCTGCGGATCCCGGCAGCAGCAGTTGGCCGCAGGATGCTGTGGGCTGGCACGGAGAGCACCACAGGGACTGTCTCCCGGTTCCGTCCTGGTCCCAGACCACCTCCCAGTCCCAGACCACCTCCCGGTCCCAGACGGCTCCAGTCCGCGCGGAAGCAGTGCTGCCAGCGGAAGCGATTCTGCCGCAGACCTCGCCATCCCTCGGTGGTTGCTGAGCCGTGCCAGTGCTGGGGCTCAGGAACAGCGTGTCTTGGCGTTCGGAGGATGTCGTGGGAATTTTCTGTCCTTCCTGGCTGTGGAGAGATGCTTGAAAATAACAAGAGGGACTTTGAGGCTCAGAAAGCGGGAGGAAGAGCCCAGTGTTGATCCAGAAGAAAAAGCAAATGTCGAGCTGAGCGGTAAAACTGGTCCCCAGAAAAGCCCTTGGGAAGTGTAATTCTAATCCTAGTGAGATACCATGTGAAATTAGGGTGGCTTCACAGCGGTTTTGGGGGGAGAAAAATGCAGAATGGTAAATTCAACCAGTATCAGGAAGTCCTGGGTTTGGTTTGGAAAATGTTATCAGACAAAATTAGAGCAAGAAATTCAGGTTTTATTGAAATGAGGTGTTCAGACTGAGGCAAAAGGGGATTATTTCTGACATTTTCTTCAGGGGAATGTAGAGAAAAAGCTTTTTGCCATTCTGAGTGGAAGCAGAAATCCTCAGTTCTTCTCTGGAGCGAAGTCACAAGTCTCCCTTTGGCTTCGCATGGTGGGGGGCGGCTGCCTGTGCTCCCCTTTCTGGCAGCTCCCTGTGGCTGGCCACACTGCAATAGTGTAAGAGCAGAAATTTCTCAATAAATCAGGCTTTTTTTTCCTAAGCACTGGTTCATAGTGGCAATCTCTCTGTTAGGACACAACATCTTGCTGGGCAGCACGTCACATCAGGGTGGGGTTCACGGTGCTTTGCCCGGGGTCTCTGAAGACGAGGCATTGGCACGGGCTGGACAAGTGCCTCGGAAGCAGCCCGCAGCGTTCGTCCCCTGGTTGTTGGTGTAAAAAGACGAGGCATTGGCACGGGCTGGACAAGCGCCTCGGAAGCAGCCCACAGCATTCGTCCCCTGGTTGTTGGTGTAAGTCAGGATCCGCTGCCCAGAGGGAGGCTGGAGGGCATCTGCCGGGAGTCAGCCCCAAATTCCCACACCCGGCACAAAGCTGCGGCAGCTCTGGTTTCTCTCTTGTGCTGTGCTTGCGAAGGATGCTGGCAGGGCTCCGCTTGCTCCCCGGCAGCAGGACCGCAGCCTTTGCAGCGCTGACATTTTCCGCTCTCGGGAAGCGTTGTTTTCTCGCCGGCCGGGCTGCTGAGGGGTTTGCTCCAAAGAGTTGTCAGGAGGTGCCGGTGCTGCTCTGCTTCGTCCTGAAGCGTTGTTTTCTCGCCGGCCGGGCTGCCGAGGGGTTTGCTCCAAAGAGTTGTCGGGAGGTGCCAGTGCTGCTCTGCTTCGTCCCGCCATCGGTCCCGCATCCCCCCTTTTGAGCGCAAATGCCCGGGTGCAGCTGACGGCAT